CCTTTCTCGTTTCCTCGTTGGAAATAGTTTTGACGCAGGCTGAATGAGAGAGCCGGGCAGGCGATCCACGCGCGGCAATTTATGCGCCGGCGTTATCGGCCGGACGGGGAACACCTGTTCGTTAACTCATTCGACGACAACGACGACAAAGTGCTCGCTCGCGTCGCACGCCCACGATTTCCATTCTCGCGATCTGGAAATTAGTCCTGCCTGTCGTAGACCGACCGGTCTATTTATCGACAGGCCGCGCGCGCCGCCGTCGAACAGAGGCGCGGCCGAGTTCGTCTCGCCCCGTAATCTGCGGCCGAATCCGAAGGGAAGATCACGATCGTTAGTCCGGATCTACAATAGGTAGATAATAAGGCAACTTTTTGCCCCAAGCAACTAGATGGTGACGTAATTTCTGGCAAAAGTGCTACCAGTCGCAATTCCGAAAATTTAAGCGTTATCAGGCGTGTTTATTAATATGTGGCAGCGCCGAAAACACCTTTTGTCAGAAATTTACATTACATTTTATCGCAAAAGACCGAAGACTTACTACACCTGTCGTAGATCCGGACTTGAGAAATGACGCGTCGTGTCGCGTCGCGAACGCTACCGGTAGATTCAACGAGGTGTCTAGGTAGACTAATGTAGAAGAAAAATACCGAGACTGACACATCATTTTATTCTTGAGCTCTGAAACCCTGTTGAAGGTGTAGAATTAAAATTTATGCATTATTGTGTACGGATGCAAAGCGGCAACATTTCTCTAGTAAAATATATTATAGTTTTTTTTTGTAAAATCGTTACCTGCTGTCTTTTGTAAATAACTACTTTTTAAAAAGTTGGAGAAATGGCGCTTCAAGAAAGTTGATCCCAAGACTGACACATCCACGATACTTACCACGAAATTGGCAAAAAATGAGGTAAAAACACTGAAATTATATTATTTTGTACAGATATTATACATTCTCATATTTTATCTGTATTTTTTCATATTTTTTATTATGCGAAAAGGAATCCCCTGACTTTTCCTTCCGATTATTTTATACATGTACATGAGAAAAACAGGAGAAAATCAGACACCGGTAGTTTCAATTATATTCCGCGAGATGGTATTTCAGAGCAAAGTTCAAGTATGGCGGTCGAAAGACCAGTAAATTCAGGTTTACAAAATAACCTAAGCCTAATTTTTCTTGTGTGTTCAATGATAGAAAATAGAGATTGGCACAAGTTTCAAACGATTTAAAAAGTTTAAAGTTTACACCATAAAATAGTATTATCCAATAAATTACTTGCCGCAGATTTGTTACTTAAGAATTACAAGATAATACAAAATATTTACAGGAAGGTAGTTCAAGAGAAACTTCAGCGCATCGAAAAATCAACCGACGCTAATAACAATCAAATGCATTTACAAACAAAAACTGCCACTTTAACACCACCTACTGCACACAAAATAGCACACAGTAAACGAAGTTCATGTATTGTTCGGCAGAATCCGATATTTTATAGACAAGAAATACAGGTATATCTATTTTTTATACCTATGTCAACTTTGGTGCTTTTTTTTACGTATATTTTGCCGCGATTTTATTAATTGATTTTGTAGAGGCTACGTCCCTTATTGAAGCAAGTTGAAAATTATGGAGACAGACATGTTTGTTCTCGAGATGAATCGAATATATGTAAATTCGACGGATGAATCGATAAACGAGTGATATTCTTCTGCGAAATACCAATCCTCATAGATAGAGGTTTATGTAATTTAGCAGCAACTTTACCATTTGTAAAAGTTGCGATCCTTTAGGAGTAGTTCACGTGCCGCTCATATTTATCACGTAGAATGACGCAGCGTAGAAATACTAACGGAAAAAGCGGCCAAAATTTACTCAAAGCAATGTGTGTCGTGTAAAAATATAACATGAAAATCTGAGTGCCATTTTTAGAAAATTTGTCGCTGCATCAATGCGACAAAAAATCTGCCTCATCGTGCGCCGTAAATTTAATGACCAATTCAGCACAATATATTTGTTTCATAAATGCAATTAAAAAAAGTTGCATAAATCACTCATTTACCTCACGTCGCGACAATCTCGTGAAAGTCTATCTGAGCAGACGTGCAGGGATTCGAAGGCGAACAAAATATGGAAAAAAATTAGGTGTCTACCTGAGGAACGAGATATCAAGACAACGGTGATGATTACAACGCACTGCCCACCGGCCGACGAAGACGCAGGCGCGCGTCGAAATTAGAAAGGAAAAGATAAAGAGAGGAGGAAAAATTCCGAAACGTGTATCCGGGAATCCTCACTCGTGGAGGAGATTCGCGTGAGGCAACACACATTTTCGAAAAGCCGCGGCTACTCCGATGGCTCGCGTATATTTCGAGATTTATGTTTGCGAAGATGTACACGCGAGAGCGGGGTAAAATTTACGCGTTTAAAAATGTTCGCTGCGGCGGAGGCAGCAGCCTCCCCCCCCTCTCCCTCCTTCTCAAACAGCCCGAGGAATCTTCCCGCCCGGTTATACGAATCTGGAGACTCGAGGGATGCATCATATTAGATTATAATACGTAATACGGCTCTGCATAATTTACGAGTTCGCTGAATAACGCCAAACGGCGTAAAGCACCGCGCGACGCGCCGAGACGATCCACTTTACTCCCGGCGAGAGGATAAGAGAGGGAGAGAGAGGGAGAGAGAGACGCCGCTCGGCTCAGGGTGAAATTTAAATTTTTCGTAAATTCACTGCGCTCCGTGTTAGACGCGGACGCGATAAACCCTCCGAAACCGGTCCATGAAGATTCCCGACAAGCGACCCCTCGCTCGCGCTTTTCAGCGGCGATGCGACACACGAAACTCATTCGCGTTTCCATCGGCAAGCGATATATCTGACACACGGCCATACATACATACATATACACACACGCACGCACACACATGTACGCACGCGAAGTCTCTCGATCGCTTAATTGCCCGCGAATTATCGCCCGTTTATTCGGATGATGGCAACGGTCCAACTTCGAGGCTATGAGTCTCGACGCGCAAGTGCGAACACACTGGGAAAAACATATTTAGTATTTGTAACCATAATCGCACAAGTGGAAGAATTATAATCGGGAGAACCATTTCGTCAGTAAGTGTTACTACACAGAGAAAAAGATTCATTTGGATTTCGCAAGAATTCTTTATTTGAAACGAATTTGTCGGTTTCTTTAGAATGGAGCAAACAAACGAATATTTGTTTCGACAAACGAGATTGTTTGGTTTCTCAAACAATACATATCTTTACGTCGAATAACATATCTCTTTTGTATTTTCATCCAAACATTACAAATGGTTCTGACAAGCAAAGAATTATCTGAAACATTAACATTATGTTGAAGATATGTTAAAGAACTTAATTTTGTTTCAGTAAAACAATATTTAATATACAGAGTATCCCGGGATAAAGAGAACTTGAAACATTTTGTGTGATCTTAAAAGTAATCAAAAGAAGCGACCATTAAAAATTTTTCTTCCACGATATTCCTCTTTTGAAACTGTTCAAATTATGTTTTAAACGCGTTCCATATATCATTAAAAACAAAGGAGATATTTAGATGTTCTCCATTTGCAGACATGGGTTCACTGACAAAAATTACTCGTTTTGATGCCCTTTAAAAGCGCTCAAAGTTTGTCGGTCTAACTTCGAGACACCTTGTATATGACAGTAATAAACAAATATTTCGATCAGTTATATTTTTTCACTTGATGGTATACAAATTTACCGTTTGTACAAAAATGTATCAGAAAGTTAAATGTTTCATACTGACGTATGTATTCTCGTCACCGCAATATGAATTGGTCGTTATTTCTAACGTCAGTATGAAAAAAAATGTTATTTCAGTTAATAACTACTGGGTAACGTATAATACTACTGTGAATGCACATCTATGACAGGAAAGACGGGATATTTGCGTCTCTGGACAGCGATGGACAGTTATAACCCGATCGCGTTGTATTGCTCGTCATCATTTTCAAAGGAACTGTTGCGCAAATAAATCCATGTAATAATAAATAAATCCGTGCAAGTCAACTGTAAATTATAATAATTTACGTGGCTATGTAATTCTAACTAAAATTATCGTTTATCACTGAGATGTTGATAATTACATGTAATTTAATTAACTCTCAAATTTGCGTCAGCATTAAAGCAACGCATACTGTACAGGAAAGACGCAAAACTTTTTTCAGTGTGAAAACACTTTGGTGCACGTTTCAAAGTCATTGTAAAAGTTCCACACTTCTTGAAAAAAGTTACGTGTGCAGTTTTATTCTTTTTCAAATTAGTATAAATTCAAGACTCATATTTTTATGTATGAACGAAAATAATTTTATGCAAAGATAAAATTCTCGTTTACACGAGGAGAGATCATATTCTTATAATTCAAGAATAATTTTCATAAGCTGAGAGGAGAAGGTATCGGACAGAAAGGACGATATCCTCCAACCAAATACAATTCTTAGATTGAAGACATCGTTCTTCTTCCTGCCCGATATTTTATCCCTTCAACTCGTGAAAATGATTATTGAATAACGAGAATATTATATTTCAAGTGGAATCTTTCTTCACATAAACAAACTTTATCTTCACGTGAGGTTATACATTGCCGCTTATACACGAGAATATGAGTCTGACAGTAATTTTTTCCGCGCACGGGAGACACGGTGCTGCATTCTTAGTGGCTCCGTCCCAAATCAACGGACTTAAATCCGCAGGCCGCGGCGGGCATAACAATCGCGGGCGGTTCAAATAGCGAAGCATTCGCGAGTGTCGGAGCAACAAATCTCCGAAGTGTTCGCAAGCATCCCTCCCGCTCGGGTCTCCGGCGGGGGTATGAAAATTCGGCAAAAGCCCGCTCTCGAGAAAAGTTCGCGTGGATGAATGATTCATCTTCGCGAGCTCTCCGAGCGGATCTCGAGGGCTCCAGTTCACGAACACCGCGGGGACGATCGCCGTTTCGAGAGACTCACCTTGCAATGGGTGCAGTTGTGGATGACGGAGTACGGCTGGGCGCAATCGTAGCGCGCCAGTACCTCCTCGAACTCGCAATGCAGCCTCGCGGCCAGGGCATCGACGAGCAACAGCTTGTCCAGGGCATCGGCGCACTTGAGGCCGCCGTTTAGCACGTCGTCGAGCGGGCCGGCCTTGCCGGGCGCCAGGGCGTTGACCACCGCGTGCTCGCAGCAATGCCGCAGACGCAACCCGCTCATGAACCAATATCGATTCTCCCTTGGGGTTAAAAAACTTCGCGTACTGGCCCGGCCGAAATCGTCCCGACAGATGTCCCTCTTGTGCGACTCCTCGAGATAAAAAAGGCACTGTTCCGGGGCCGTCCGTACGCCCGCCTCCTCGGTATACGCTCCGCGTCGATCGGCCTTCTCGAGCCGCGTTTTCGTCCTTATCATCATCGTCGTCGTCGTCGTGGTCGTCGTCACGCCGGTGCTCACGTCGATCACCTCGCGGAAAGGGTCCCGCGAGGTCGCGGCGCACGGCATCGGACAGTACTTGGGCACCTCCGGTGGACCGCAGCTACCCTGAAGATCGGCCGGCGCTGGTCCCGCCAGATCGCAGGCCGACAGCCAGGGGTTCACCTGGTTCACCTCCCAGCTGTACTTGCCGTAGGGGTGCCAGTGGTCGGTTCGTTCCCGCTTCGGTTGCTTCCGATGGCGACGACGCTCGCTGTCCTCGGTACTGTAATCGCCACCCTGAACGTACTGCTGCGGCTGCTGGTGCTGGTGGGCGACGACCGTCGACGACGAGAACAGGTTGGTGTAGGACGGCGTGGCGTTGCGCTGCGCGGGGTTCTTCGCGTGCCCGAGGGTCGGGTTCTGCGCGAAGGTCGAGGCGAGGTGAGCCGAGCAGAGCAAGGGCCACGCCAGAAGGTACAGCACGAGGAGGAGCAGCCTGCCTCGGCGCGTACGCGGCTTGTCGCCTCCTCCCGTCCTCCTAGTGATTAACTTTTGTAACCAGGCAGTGTTGTCGCTACGTCTCCCCCCTCGGCCGTGGAAGTCCGTCGGACTCTCGCGACGACGCCTCCTCTCGGCGAACGGGCAGTCCGGGCCGTCACCAAGAACAACAACACTAACACGCGCGGCGTCCTCCCGGTGCATCCTCCGCCCCCCGTCGTCGCCTTGGTCGTCCCTGTCATCGCTATAGGCAGTGTAAGCAAGCACGGCGTCGCCGTCCTCCTCGTGATCCTCGCGAGGGACGCGAAAGGCAGTGGCAGTTCCGGGCCCTCCTCGGCGAGCCGGCCCGGACGACGCGATGCTGCGCTGTTCCTCCTCCCCCTTCCACTCGTTCGTCGACGCAGGTGGTCCCGTGAGTCCGAGCGGATCGAGCCGCATGGGCGCGAGCGGATGATCGGGGACGCTAACGTCCCCGACGTCCCCAGCGGGTCGCTCCTCGCTCGACGACGACGATGATGACGCGGACTCGCGGTGGACTCGCGCTGCCGCATCGCTGCCACCTAGACTGAGACTCGGGACGCCCCGAGACGGCGAGAGGACGCGGCGCGCAGCGGCACGCGTCGACGACGACGACCTGGTGGACGCCGGCTGACCGAGCCGCGACGTCTCTCCGACACGTGCCGCTGCGCGTTTCCCGCGACGACGCCACGACGCTCCAGCCTGTCTGCGCTCTGTCCGACCGCTCGCCGGGGTATCCCTCTGCGATGGTATCAGCCCCGCTCGTGCGTGTCCCGGACCGGTTGCCCAGGTGCCTGCCTGAGCGGTCCGGGTTGGCGGGGCCCTTAGAAGTTCCCCTGGACCAGCGTGCCTCGATTGACGACGACCACGAGGAGGTTCGCGGCCGCCGTCGGGAGGAGTCGCGGCGACAACGTTGACGACGGTGACGACGGCGCGAGCACGCGCTCGTGACCCACCAGCGCTTCCGTCTCTTCCTCTTGCCGCGCCACCTGCACCACCACCTCGCGCCGCCGCTCCTCGGCCTGTCCTCTCCGGCCGCTGTCGCCGCTGTGCCAGGTGTGCGCCACTTCCGAGTGAGCGCGACGACGCCGGCAGCCGAGCGGCGAAAGCACCTGCTGCTGAGCAACACCGTCGTCGTCGTAGTCCCCCTGCCGAGGCTCGCGAGCTCCCAGTGCGGGGTACCGAGGTTCATGCTGCATCCTGAACGCTCGTACCCTCCTCCTCGTCCTCGCGATCCTTGGTCGTCGCCGATTATCACGGCCGGTGGCGGCACGCGCACCACCACCACGACGACGGCGACGCGGGTAACGGGAGGACGTCGAGGCGCCGAGACCTCATGGACACACCCTGGCCGGGCACCGCGACGAGAGGTTGTGTCCCTCTCGCCTGCACTCGCGCGCTAGTCGGCTGACGGCTCTGCTGCCGACGGTGACGATGTTGAGGCTTCACGACGGGCAGACACCAGCGGGTATCTCGCGGCCGCGATTAGCCGAACGAGGCATTAGGAGGAGGACGTCGTCTCGATGCTGGAGGTACGCGCTGGAGGCTGCTCCATGCTGATGGTGCGAGGAAGCCTGCTGCTGCTACTGCTGCTACCGCTGCTGCTGGCACCACCGTCGTCGCATCGGCGCATTGTCACCCCCCGTGTGTGCCTTGTCGCGGCGCTTCTCGCCGCTCGACGATTCCACTCTCGACGATGCACGGATCCTCGTAGCGACGCTCACCGGCTGCTCGCCGCTAATCACATCCACTCGTCGGTCCCGCGGGAATATCAACGCCAGACCTTATCCGATCGCCGGATTCATCCCTTTCTCTTTCTATCTCTCTCCATCCGTGAGCCTCCCGTCTCCAGCTACACCGACACGCACACGTGCGGTGTACTCGCGCGCGCACGGAGAAGGGAGAGGCTATGTTCCATGCGTGCACATTCCTCCCCGTGTCGATGCGATCGTCTTGCCTACCGGTGATCCGATAATCTGTGTATCGTCTCCTCTCTCTCTCGATCGTATTTATTTGCGCCGAGAGGACGGATCGCGCGGGCTTGTATATCAGGTGCGTCCAGCAAGAGGGGTAAGATCGGGAGGGTAGGTGGATGAGAAAAGTGCTGCGGCGGTGTGCGGTGTTGTTTGCGCGAGAGGGCTCGTATTACGGCGAATCCACTGTGTTCGCGCCCTCCCCCTCCCCCTCCCCGGAGCGGGCGAGGGTTAGACCCGCGTTCGTCGGGTGCGTTTCGTTGCGCGCGATAGCCCGGATGGTAAGCCCGAGACAGAAGTAGACGGTGATGATATCTAGGTTGGTCGGACAGGCGAGCGGATATCCTCTCTCTCTCTCTCTCTCTCCCCTTGCCCGGTATCCCTACGGTATCTTTAAGGACAGCGGCGGCGGCGGCGACGACGACGGCGGCGACAACGGCAGCGGCGGCGGCGGCCGTACGTCGGAACGGCGCCCGGCGACGGAGGATGGGTGACGATATAGGGAGCACAGATGAGCGCACCAGGCTAAGGACGACACACACATACACACACCAACATGTACAACACACCACTTGCGGCCGGAGCGCGCGCGCGCGCGCGAGCGTGTCGACACGACTACGACGACGGAGGAGGAAGAAGAAGAAGAAGAAGTAGTAGTAATAGTAGAAGAAGCAGAAGAGGGAGAAGAAGAAGAAGAAGAAGAAGAGGAGGAGAAACACCGAAAAAAGCGCGACCCGCCGACACCAGGCACTGCGCGCTAGCGTGTCGGCTAGCTCTCGTAACGACACGGACGTACCCGAGGATCCCTCTTGGAGAGACTCGTCGAAAACTTCGGGGCGCCCTCGCTCTCTCGCGGACCGTGTCTCTCCGCTGTCGCGCTGCCGAGCGCGCGCGCGCACACGCACCACTCTCCGCCGTCCGCCCCTTCGCACCCCCTTCTTTCGCAACCCCCGACGCTCTACCCTACCCTCTCCTGTCCACCCTCTCGCCGCCTGTCCTGTACTCAAGTTTCTCTCTCGCTCGTCTGTATCTACTTCTCTCTGCCTCAAGCGATTTCACCCTCTTTCTCTCTCTCTCTTTCCACTATCAACCCCTGACGCAAGCCTCCATCCTCTCTTTCTCTCTTTTTCCCTCCCTCCCTCTCTCTCTCTCTTTCTTTTTCTCCCTCCTTCGCTCTCACCCCCGTGGAAAGAGATTTGCAGGGCGGATTCTTTCCACTGGCGGACATGAAAGTCGCGCCACCTGCGTCCTCGTCCTTGCGCCCGGTGGCGATGCGATTCCCTTCTCCTCGGAGGAGGGTACCGAGCACGCGGCGTCGACGGGGGTAGTCGACGAGGGGTTCATCGAGCGTGATCATTGTCATTACGCGATATCCCGCGCTCCCAAGGTGTCATCCGGAGCATCTCTCTCCTCGGTGCGGCGAGTGATGATGACGACCACGAAGGCGACGGGCTGGGCGTCATCGTGCAGGTCGCCATCTTCGTTCTCGCGCCGCTCCCCGTCCGGGGACGAGCGGTGGCTTCGAGCGCTCTCTCATTCCCCGCGACCCTTCCTCTCCGTATCCTGCGCCCCTCTCCAGCCGCTGTCCACCCCGCGCGACCCTACTCGCTTTCCCACCCCCTAGATCGCTCACCCTTCTCCGCTCGCCACCTCTTTTCCGTCTTTCTCCGTGCCGTCGCTCCCTCTTCGTCTCTCCCGCGACGAGTCCTACCTCTCTCGCACCCCAAATCGCACTACCTCCTGCTACTCCCCCCTCCCCCACCTCTCTCTCTCTCTCTCTTTCTTTCTTTCGCTCTCTCCCTTTGCATCCCCCCTCCCATGAGTTTCCGCCTACCCTCGGCGCATACGGCGCTACACACACGATCGCCTTCCGCTCCACGCGAACGCTGATTCTTCTCTACCCATCCTGCCAACCCCCTGCCACCCCCGCCGACATCTCCCGAATCCCGCCTTCGCGGGGAGAGCTCTTCTCGCCAGCCTCCGTTTTCTTCCCAGTGAGACTTCCCCGCCGCCCCTCTTCTTCGTCTTCTTCATCATCCCCGCATCCCGTTCATCCCCTTCTCGCTCGCGCCCTCGGTGCCGACGAACGCGTCGCTCGCCGAAAAAAGAAAAAAAAAGAGAGAGGAGAGAAACCGACCGAGTACGATCCTCGACTCTCGCGCGGCGCAGTATGGATTTGTGCTCGTTCCGAGATTCGAGCGACCGTCCGAACGACCCGAATATATCGGCGGCGGTGGCGATGGTGGTGGTGGTGACGGCGGCGGCGACGGCGGTGGTGGCGGTGGCGGCGGCGGCCGCTCGCCGCGGCACGCGTTATATACGTTCCGACTTCGATCGGCGTCGACGAGGTCGAGAGGCCGAGTCGAATCGAGAGGGAGAGAGGGTGCGAAGAAAGAGAGAGAACGAGCCGCGCGAGATCGAGTCGCGCACGGCTCGGGGCTGACGACGCATTCGTCTCGACTAGACTTCCGATAGCGGCGAACGATGACGGTGTCTGACACCACCTCTCTTTCTCTCTCTTTTTCCTTTTCCTTCAGGGTGCTCACGAGAGATAGAGCCGTCGTTGGTACCCCTTTCGAGCTGAGCCAGGGAGAGATAGGATTCTCGAGGAGCCCGAACGCTTATCGGCAAAAAGGCATCGCCGATTCTGCGATAATGAATTGAAAATCGTTAGGTTGTGGAAACAGCTGCGGTATTCAATTACTATAGGAGGGGGGGNAGGGGGGGGGGGGGGAGAGATCATTAAAGAGGTTTCAAGGCTGCAATAATCCTTTTTTCATATATCGCATTTTGTTATAATTAGCGTTATCGTATAATATTAGGATAGGAGATTTTCCGCAGAGACACTTTCTACAAATTGTTGTCATCGTCATCGAAATTTTTCTCAAGGTGATCTCTTCGTTTTAACAATTTGATACGAACGATACGTCTTATTTTTCGCTGTCTTCTAATCCACCCGAAGCTTCTCACGTGCACTTTTAAATTGATCGGTTGAACATTCCATATCGAGGAGTTGAAGTAGAAAAGTCGCAGCTGAATGAAATTTCCACTTACATTCGCTGTCTCGCAATATTCACTGGACGGAAAGCGAAATCGGTGTTACGCATACGAGGAACTGTCCTCGTTCATGTCTTTCCGCGGAAACAGCTGCTCCGACGGGCTATTTAAATTCCGCAGACCAGCTGAGAGAAAGAATGAGGAGTGAGGAAGGGG